TTTGAAGTTTGCAGATATCCTGGTCCTCTATTCAAGAAACATTTACTTAAAGTACACTTTTTATAGCAGAGATTGTAAGATTTCACTTCACAACATTTTTTTGTAAAGAATCAAGACATTTAGCAAATAATGCAAAAGAATATATGAAACATTAAGGGACTAGTGAAACTGAAATCAGAAAAAAATACAAAAGAACGCACAGTTGTGAGAGAAAACAAGAGCATGTAAAAGTTTAAGCAGACTGCAGTGATCGGAAGTCTCTAAGAGAGATTGGAGACCTGTGGAGGTGTAAAGGGTTATTAAATGGAAGTTAAACACATTTTTTTACCATTCCCAAAATGTTAAGCCCCAAAAGAAAAGTAACAATAGGCTTTCAGATTCTTGCACTGATTGAATCCTTTATTCAGTCCACCCCCACTTTGCAGCTGTGGGAGTATTTTCTCATGGCTTTATGAACAAATGATCCTAAGAAACAATTTCATTTGAAAACATCCTGTGTATTAAATGCTTTAAAACACTAATAAGGATATATTTTTTTTTAAAGTTTGTTTTTGCCTTGCTAGAAAGGGATTCTTAAAGCAAAATTTGAATTTTTGGTTTTTAGAATGTTCCTCTAACCTATTTACTCTTTACTCTGTATATCACTAAACATCAGATAAGATGTTTGATTACATAATCAAAATTTAAGCAAACAATTTATAAAGTAACAAGTAAGAATACGATTAAAATACAATCACTTACATTACAAACATTTTTAAGATACACTTTTACTGATGGTTTATGCTTTCAATATACAATAATTAAAAAAATCCAATCAACTCAAGTTTCTGTGATTTGTTAATTCTGTTTAACCTTTTTTTAATTGACAAAAGGGCTAGCACAGTGATGTACTGAGTAGCACAATCACCTCACAGCAAGAAGGTCGCTAGTTCGAGCCCCGCTGGGTCAGTTGGCATTTTTGTGTGGAGTTTACATGTTCTCCCTGTGTTCATGTGGGTTTTCTCTGGGTGCTCTGGTTTCCCCCACAACTCCAAAAACATGTGGTATAGATAAATTTGGTAAGCTAAATTGTCCGTAGTGTATGTGTGTGAATGAGTGTGTATGGATGTTTCCCAGTGATAGGTTGCAGCTGGTTTGCGGTTCATTCCACTGTGGCAAGCCTAGATTAATAAATGGACAAAGTCGAAAATAAAATAAATGAATGAATAATTCATAAAAGTACAAAGTACGGTTTTCTTTACAATTGTACTATCTTTAGGTTTATCAAACACTAAGTAATTTATTGATCGTTACTGTTCAGTTTTCTTTGTTCTTTTCTTTTCTTTGCATGCAAATATGCAGGATGCATGAATCTGCCATGTAGAAAACCATGTTGATAAAACTTATTGTTTTATTATTTTTTCTAAACAAGAACTCCTGTTAAAGATAGTTGAAGATTGCTTTAATATTTCAGCTTTTATGTAACTTATAGGATTTATTTGCTATCTTAGATTAATTAATTGTGACAGGTCTTTAATGTGGTGCCCAAAAGTTTCCTAAGTGAAGTTTATTAATAAACTAATTGTTTTATTTATTGTAAACTAATTTCGAGAGGATCACGTGCTTATGATTGCTTGTGGCTGGTCCCTTATTATTCAATTCATGATTTACTAATCAGACAATTCCTAAGCCACTATAAATACCCTCAGTTCCATATAACAGCCATCTTTGTTTTGAAGAATCCCCGCTTCCACCCCTCTTCTTCCTCTTTTCCTAGATGGGTGGCATGGTGGCCCAATGGTCAGCACTGTTGCATCACAGCAAGAACGTCACTGGTTCTAGTTACCAAGCCTGCCGATGTTTCCGTGCGGAGTTTACACGTTATCCCTGTGCTCACGTGGGTTTCCCCTAGGTTACCCGGTTTCTTCCCACCGTCCAAAAAACATGAAACAATGGGCTCTATTTTGACGATCCATGCGCAGAGCGCAAAACGCAGGGCGCAAACGCTTTCAGGGCGTGTCAGGATTTTGCTAATTTAAGGACGGGAAATCTGCCTTGCGCCGTGGCACATAGTCTAAAAGGGTTACGTTTATTTTCTTAATGAGTTATAGGTGTGTTTTGAGAATAAACCAATTAGAGTCTCATCTCCCATTCCCTTTAAGAGTCAGCTGCGTCGCGCCAAGAGTGCATTCGCTGTTTACAGGACACAAAGTAAGTCTAAGTGGAAAAAAATGAGCATTTCACTAGCAAACAGTTAACAGTTTTTTTAACAGAAAACTGTTAAACAGAGCATCTACTGCGTGAGAATGAAAGATAATGGAACTACTTTCACATTCGCTCTTGGATAGGAAAACCTTTACGCACAGACATCAATTAGTCTATAAATAAATACTTTTGTTTGTTAAGTGCAAATATTCGTTTCAAAACTATTTCAAAATTCAGTTCTAATTTCCAGCAAACGAATAAATGAATAATAATAACAAAATGTCTTCAAAAACCTGAGTTATATCCTAAAAACACATGATGTGCCCCTTATGGTCTAAAACCTGACAGGTGGGCAAATCTAAGCTTGTTTTTAATAAAACAAATATAAATATGGATATAATAAATAATACTGCTAGTAATAATAACATTATACAAAAGCAAATTGTTATGAATGAACTGAAAAACCCTCCCGAGATGAAGAAGACATAAAAGCAGTGATTTTTCATATTTATGTAGGCTAGAAAATAATGTTTTGTAATATTTTAATCCTTTATATTTATGTCCTATATCTATTCTTATTATATCCTATATATATCCTTAATATTTACATTTTTTCACATGTAAAGATATTTGCCTATTGCTCTCTTGTGCGTATTAAGCAGTGCGTAAGCGAGGCGCAACTCTGCGCCGGAGTTTAGACCGGGTTAGTTTAGGTCTGATGAAAAATCTATTATAGTTTCTCAAAATAGCAACGCACCAGCGGTCCGCCTCAGAACGCCTTCCTTTTTAGACCAGAACGCCTATGGGCGCACAAATGAGCGCTGATGCATTTGCTATTTTAACAGCATAGCGCAACGCCTCAAAACGACTCTTGCGCCAAGCTGAAACTTCCAAAAGACTACTGCGCCACGCCTTGCGCCACGCCTTGCGCCACACTGCGCCGGGTGTATGATAAGGCCCATATAGTTAATTGACTAATCCAAATCGGCACCATAAACATGCTCCTAATAAGTAGTTATCTCTAAAAACACTCCTTACCGGTGATATTTCAGTTCAAGTAGTACCTGCATCCACATCCATGTCTGGTTTTCTCTTGATGATCCCATGAAAACAAGATTTACACCAACAATGTCTCCAGTTGTGTTTTTTGTTTTTTTTCCTTTTCAATAAATTCCGGTTTAAAATGAATTTGCTTTATATTATGTACTTTATGTCCTGATACAGATGTTAAAACTGCATTCGACACTATTATTATTTGTGCCGAAGTGTCTTTGTATAATTCTCAGTCTCAAAGATAGCAGACAGGTTGTCCAAGTAAACTAACAATGCATGCATTTACTTCTTAAAGATTTTTGGCTTTAATTTGCTAAGATCAAAAGAATTCATGATTTCATTCAGTTTCAATTTTAGACATTGCATATAAACGACTGTTGTTTAAGGCATACTTTTGCTTTCAAAATGTGTCTGACTTAACTTAATTCATGTACAGTACAAACATGGTTTTGTATGACAAAAGATCAAACTGAACCACCAGTTTATTTTGCAAATGAACATTGAATTATTGATTTATTCAGAATAAATCAGACAGCAGAAAAAAAAAATCTTTATCCACTTTATTTTTCATGTAAGAGTGGATTCAACCATGTGTGTTGTTGACAAACATTAACTGTTGAGACTTCTGATGTCATTAACTTACACTGATTTTTAGTTAATTCACACTAAAGTAAATGGTGAATAAAATGTTCTTTATGCCAAACAAGTAATTAAAAAAACAGTTCAATATAATGAATTTTAATTTAAACTCTAAATTTAGAAAAAAAACCTAACAATACTGGTACCCAGTAATACCCGTAATAACATGTTTTTTGCATTTGGTCTCCTAATAATCCATCTAGCATGTTGTATAAAATGTACAGTTTTTTTTTTTTTTTTTTGCTTTTACTGAAACACAATACATTTTTCATCTAAAAAAGTCATCTAAAGTAACTCTTTGCTGCATAGTCAGAATTATTGTTTAAATATCTATGTGTGGGTGTAACAGCTGCTTGTGTGAGATTTTGTTTTGATGGTTTCCTTTAGACTTTCTGTTACTTTCTAACTATGTTTGGCAATATTAGCAGACTGTCAGCTTATACTGGGTTAATAAAGGTATATTTTGATGTTCCTTCAACAGACAATTTCTACAGTCCCTTTACAAGTACTTTTCATCTTATTCTACTAAGATGATTATCCTAATCTTTACCTAATTGTCCTCTAACCCATCAGCTGTCATTTGGTAATGTTATGCATAATAACAATACATACAGTTGTAATCAAAATTATGCTGGGAATTTTTATTTTTTAAATATTTCTTAAAATATGTTTAACAGAGCAAGGAATTTTTCACTGAACTTCCGAAAATATTTTTTTCTTTTGGAGAAAATTGTATTAGTTTATTTAGGCTAGAATAAAAGACAACAAATTAAAAATTAAAATTTTATAAAAAACATTTAAAGTCAATATTATTAGCCCCCTTAAGCATTATATTTTTGATTGTCTACAGAACAAACCATTATTATACAATGACTTGCCCAATTACACTAACTTGCCTAATTAACCTAATTAACCTAGCTTTTAAATATCACTTTTAGCTGAATTGTAGTTTCTCGAAAATATCTAGTAAAATAGTATTTACTGTCATCATGGCAAATATTAAATAAATTAATTATTAGAAATGAGTTATTAAAACTGTTATGTTTAGAAATGTGTTGAAAAAACTTTCTTTCTGTTAAACAATTGGGAAACATGTTGCATTAAAATATTTAACATTGCGTATTACTGGGTGTGGCTATAGTCATATTGAAAGTGAAAGCTGAAAAAAACTCACAAAGCTTGTCCTTCATGCCTCGCGTGTCAGTTTTCTCGTCGTTCTGTTCATTTGAAGAGCATTTACACAGTAAGTATCTGTTTAATGACTCGTTTTGAACCGATAGCGTCGTCTTTATATCCGCAAGGTTAAACTCACTGTTTAATAGCATTGGTGTCAACAAGCTGACGAAACTTCGCTAAAAGTAGAGCGAGCAAGCATAACAAATGGTCAACAACTGTTAAAGCTTCTTGATGTTTACACAGTTCTCATGTTTAATCGTCGTGTTTGGCTCTTAATACAATATACTGTAGCTGCTATTCATGGATTTCAACACGGAAATGTTTTATAGAAATATCTGCGCGCATGCGTTAGCACCCATGATCGAAATCAAGCAAATATTCATTCAAGCGCTTATTTTGTTGTATATAATGCCAAAAACTACTTATTGTGCAGACATAGGAGTTTGACCTGTATAAACAGATTTGTTCGTATGTTTATTAATATTCATAAACACATTTATACCTTTAGAGAATACAAATACAAAGAAAATACAAAACATTTACTTTGTGAAGCATACATTTTTTTTTGTCGTAATTCAATTTTGCATATGGACGAAACATTTACATATACTTATGGATGTACTGTTGTACTCATACTATTTGTGTGTTTTTATTTGAAATCATTGTCAGCTGTAAGAATCGTTTAAAATGTACCATTTTAAAATGAATTATTTAAAACAAATGGGTTCATTATTCAACCAGAAAACATTAAAGTTTATTACTGAAATGACTCTTTTTGCTTTACTTTTCAGAGTAAACATGCCTTCAGTGATAAGGCAATTTACTGCGCTTTCTCTCCTAATCCTTGCTGTGAGGCCAGATGGAGGTACGTGCTATAATAAAAACAAAAATTAACTAATTCATTTTGGATCTATACATTAAAAGCAACCAGATTTCCAGGTTTAAATGACGAATTATACTTTTCTTCTATTTTGTAAAACAGTTTTTTTTTTTATAGATGCTTTAGATTATCATTACATATTGTTGAATATGAATGTGTTTGTATATGCATTGCACATGTGTGTATGTGTATATGTGTGTTCGTATGGGTGTATACATGTATGTACATGCCATGTTTAAACATATTTATCTGTACAACCTTGTTTATTTGTTTTATTTATTTTTAATATTTTTTTATATATGCAAGTGTATGTCTGTGCATGTTTATATGTCCCCAGTCTATCTATGCCGAATTATTGTTGAGAGTTGACCTTGTTTGTTAAATTATTTGAGTGTTTTTGAGAAATTGAAATGAGATGTGTGACGGTAGTACTCAAAAGAGACTCTAGATGCACCTTATCACTGTTGCCCTGATGAAGGCAGTTTCTAGCCGAAACGCGTAGGTTTTTTAAGATTTAGGTACGTGAATAAAAGCTTTTTAAATTTTCCACTTTTTTCGAGTGCCTTGGATTGATTGCTGTTGTTGTTTTGATGAATCTCATACCCAAAGAGCACCAACCAAATATTTGAGTTATCCCTGAGAACTTTTTGTTTGTTTTTTTGGAGAACAAATGAACTGTTTGTTGTTTTTCATACTAAAAGAACTTTTAAAATTTATCTTTAAAGAGTGGAACAAAATTATAATTACTATATTGTCATATTAATGACAGTAGAGGTTTAGATCAATTGTTCTGCTAAAAGCAGTTTAAATGTAAACAAACCAATTATCCATGAAAAATTAAGTGCATTGCTACAATTTATTTTGGTTATAAACACCATGTCACATATTTTATCAATGGAACTTTCTTTCTATTAAACCATGTACATCCCTTTTATGTGCAGGCTGAATAATATGTAAAAGGCGTCATACATAAATGTATAGGGCGTCATGTCGGATTTAAATCAAATTTGGCTTATCAACACATACATAAAACACGTGCATATACACCTATAAATTACTCGCATGTATTCATTCAGTCATTAATTTTCTTTTCGGCTTAGTCTCTTTTATATTCTGGGGGTCGCTACAGCGGAATGAACTGCCAACTTATCCAGCATATTTTTTTTACTCAGCGGATGCCCTTTCAGCTGCAACCCATCACTGGGAAACAAAAATACACAGTCAAACACTACGGACAATTTATCCTACCCACCTATACCTCATGTCTTGGGACTGTGGGGGAAACCAGAGCACCTGGAGGAAACCCACCTAAACGTGAGGAGAACATGCAAACTCTACATAGAAACACCAACTGACAAAGCCGAGGTTCGAACCAGCAACCTTCTTGCTGTGAGGCGACAGCACTACCTACTGCGCCACCGCGTTGCCTACTCACATATACACCGCAACTTGCATATAAACATAGAAACTTGATCTTTGCATATGTACACCCACAATAACACACGCACAAACATATAAACTTGATGCATGCAAACATACCTGTACAAAAAAAAAATATATATATATATACATATATATATATATATATATATATATATATTGTTATTTTTTTTTAATTAGCATAATCTATTTTCATTATTCAACAGATGTAATTCCTCTTTTAATTGCATTATTTCTGCATCCTAAGCTTAGTAATAACATAAATTCATGCTAAATAATGATCTTGTTCATTTATCCTCAAGGAACTTTTACGTTGAAATTAAAGTACTTCTTTTTCAACTGAAATGACTTTCTTTAACATTGAAAATTCATGCATATGCACATAAGAAGTCACTTGTATATATGTATATACACAGCTAATTGCATATTTGTTAGTGAATTTTATTTTGTATGTTTGCACAAGTGTTATTTGAGTGTCCACGCATCGACTTAACATTCATATTTGAGAGTTTATGGTAGCATATGCATACAGTAGATCGAGTTTATATGTATATGCGAGTGTGTATAGGTGTGTTTGCATGCAAGGGGTTTATATGTATGTGCATGTTATTAGGCATGGGCTGATATAAGATTCTGATGGTATGATAACCTTGAATAAAATTATGACAAACTCACAATATCACGGTAGTGTGATCACTGCTCCAAAATAAATTCTTTTTAGGGTGCTTTTACACATGTAGATCGATTGTTTTGTTCCAAAATAGGGATTAAAATTGTTACAATGTTGCTCTTTGTTCTTGGTGCGGTTCACTTTCACATGGCAAAGTAAACTCTCCTCACATTGGTCAAAGTGTCAGGGTTTATTTAGCAGAGTCCCGCTCAGCTGTCATGCATCCTTATTTTAATTTATGACAATGAGCAATAAGACATTATAAGCGAAAAGGTGCACTTTAATTTTGAATGGTGATACCCACAGATATCATCACCAAATATAAATCAGAGTTAAGTCTGTCTCATACATAACCTTGGCTAGAATTATGCATTATAGGCTTTACATTATAGAGAGGAATAACAGATGGACTAAGACTGCAGTTCGTAAGTTTCCTAACTGATAAACATCACTTGGTAAAATTTTCAGCATGCTTTCACTTTCACATTTGAGTTCTTTGACACACTAAAGTTCGTTTTAATCAAGCCAAGACCACCTCGTTCAGGCGATTTCGGACTAATTGTTTTAACGTGGATCTGAATGCGATTGCTGGATTCACATATGCCAAATGAACCGCACTAACTGTGGAAACGTGCCAGGTACTTAAACAAAAGTCTTGGTGTGAAAGCACCTTTACATTTCAATGTAAAAAAACAACAACTTTTCCCCCCATTGACCACTATATAATTTATTTTAAGAAACATTTAAAATATTTTGGACCTGTAGATTTTGGTGTGGAGGTTTCTTTTCTGCTAGATGTACTGTTGCCCTAAAAAACTAAATAAAATAGTTGTGAAACCTGTGTAAACCTAAAACAGATAAAAAATATGTACATTATACTTCTATAATTCTATATATTCTCTGGCGGTTTTAAAACCTTGACTTTTCCAAACCGTTTATCGTTATCGTCCCATGCTTAATGTTAATGTGAGTGTTTATGTGAGGAGCGAATTTATTTGTGTATGTGTACAGTTATGTTTGCATGCAACAAGTATATATGTGTGTGTGTTAATTTGAGTGTATATGCAAGTTTATAAGTATGTGCTTCTGTATGTGTATGAATGCATCAAGTTTAAATGTATATACGCAAGTTTTATATGTTGTTTTGAACATCTAATTCTATATGTTTATGTGCAAGTAATTTATAGATGTACATATGCATATGTTTTATGTATGTTTTAATAAGCGAAGTTTGATTTAAAATTCTACACGGCACTCCATAGAAATGTGTCCTGCTTTAACGTTTTATAATGACAATTTTTGTTTGTACTTCTGTGTTCAACAGAATTGTTGGATCTGAAATGCCAACCCACAGTTGGAATTGTGGCGCAGACAACAGACATCAGATGTCAATACAAAGACAATGGGGATACCAATATAGTTGGAGTTTTCTTAAAGAAATCAACAGAGGAAAATTCCATTTTTCAAATGTATGGAAATAAGATATATGGGGATAAACGATTTACTCTTGAAAACCCAAGAAACGGTCCATCCTTGAAAATCACCGACACAATGTTTTCTGATGAGGGTAATTATGATTACCGTGTTGTAACAGACCGAGGTGAACAAACGATACGGCTTTCCATTACTGTCACAGGTGAGATTTAATTATTTTTATCTTTTATCTTCTATATCACCTGATTATTCTTACATGACAAAACCTGACTTAAGTTCTTAGCATGTTTAGTAGTTTTACATAGTTTTACATAATTACATACATTCTCATACTTTCTCTGCCATTTATCTTTTTTTAAAAGCCAACTACAGTGCTCCCGTCACCAGCACATGGCCTGAAACTCTAATAAATGGAGGACCCGCTGACCTTTACTGTAATGCTACTGAAGGCTACCCAGCAGGCTACATCCACTGGTTTGACAAAACTGGAACTAACTGGACCATTAACTCAGTCCTGAGAAAAGTTCCAAAAGACACCAATGGCAGGAAATCTGTGGCATTGTCTAGTAAACTGACTTTTAAGTCTATCAACAAGGACCTGGAACCGTTTATATGCATTGTGTTCAACAGCAAACATGTACAAGATGGAAAAAGCACAATAAAATCTCCTATATGTAAGCTTGCTTTTCTTACATTCTCTATGAATTGTTTTACATAGCTAGCAAGTTATGCAACTGATGATCATCTAAAAAGATCTGCTTTTTTCAGTAGACAGTTTAAACAGTAATTATATTATGGTTTCTGAAGATCTCTATTCTCAAAATAAAGATGGAAGAGCATGTTTTGTGACAGACAAAAATAAATGGTATGTTGTTTCTCTAGTTTCTCCTGAGGATCCTGAGAAGAATGTTTTGGAACCTGATACAACAAAGATTATTGCTGGTGGGATGGTCATTGGATCTCTTATTGTTGGTCTTCTGTTTGCTCTGTTGTTTTTCAGAAGAAAAAGAAGTTTTCATGGTAAGGACACCTTTAACATTTTTTAAGATGAGCTATTGTATAATATTATTTTGTGTTATATTTACATTCCAGTTTCCCAGTACTGGGTGATGCCTGGAAGGGCATCCACTGAGTAAAAACATATGTCAGAGTAGTTGGCGGTTCATTTTGCTGTGGCGACCCCTGATAAACCAGAAAAGAAGGGAAGGAAAATTATATGGATAAATTCACATTTCAGTGATGGTTTTCCTCTTTATGTAAAACCTTTTACTATCAAATGAATCACAAAAGAGGAAATGTGATAATGCTTGAATTTTAGCTAAAATGATAAAACAAAAACACTTCAGCTCATCCTTTATACATACAATAGTCAACATTTGAATTGGGTAAAAAAAAAACCTGAAAGACCTCAGAAAGCATAGACTTGCTTCCTTATTATGCTTTGCTAGTGTTGAAATAACTGGAATGTCACATGCTTCTTTTTCTTTTTTTTCTTCTTTTGTTAAGGTAAACAGTAGTGAACTATATTTAGAGATTTACATCACTGTCCATTAGTTCTGTATTTCTATAATATATCAGATTGCTGTGACAGTCAGTATAGATAAACCGTTTCATTTCATGCTGATTTTTCCCCATTTTTGAACACAGATCAGAGACGATCTTCTGCCCAACCTTTTCTAAGTATGAAATGCCATTTCAAGCGGTTTTTATCTTTAACCGTCTTTTTATTAGACTTTCTGTTCTCTATGATTAACAATTACATTTATTTTATTAACTATTAAATTCAGCAATTGGTTCTCTCTAGGGATAATTCTGTTTCACTTTACCATATGTCAGCAAGACTTTCTGTTCTCTATTTTAAACTTATTTAATGCAGGAGTTATTTCTCTCTGGGAATCATTCTGTTTCACTTTCCCACGTTTCAGCAAGATGTTTAATCTCTACAGCTTTCTCTATCGTACATACTTTTTGGCACAGGTTTTAGGATAAATAACTTCTCTGGCCTTGGGATATGCACTGAAAGGGCTTTTGCTTTTGTAACACTAGTGACTGGAAATGAAAGTTATATAGACCCCATTAACACATTTACATTGTCTTATGAATAATTAAAATGTCATTTATTTTAGCAGACTATGCGAAAACAGCAGAAGATGATCCAGAAAATCCATGAAAAGAGCAGCAGGTATGATCACATTTCATACTGTCTTTGCTTCATACATCAAAACAATGTTGCACTTGATTTAATATTAGATAATAGTTAACAGTTTGATATTTTTTTATAGCTGATAAGTTGTACTTTATAATGTATATATTAACTTTATTGTTTTTTTATTATTATCTTATTATTGTTTTTAGGACTGAGCATCCAGGCTTCACTATCATCATGTGAAATTAAAACTAACCCCTTGTTTTCATACTGAGGTCGCTTCAGATGCTTTTTATATTGTGTGGTAATACATAATGTAATGTCATGCCTTTAAGACTAAAATGACAAATTACTAGCAAATGCAGTTTACCCCTACAATAAGAAATAAGGTCTGTAGCTCCACACTGAGAATTTAAGAGATCAGTTAAAAACTAAGGAAATATTTTCTCAATTTGTATTTTTATGTCTGTCAGAAGTCATTTGAAATGAAATACATGTTATTTACTTTTAAAACAGACTTTTAAAATTATTAAAACACAAATTTGATGTTATTACTTTTTTTTTTTTGCAGAGTTTATAATCACATAGTCACACATTTATACCACAGGCAAAGGCTACACACACTTACATACAACTACATGTAATTACTGTAATGCTGCCATTAGATCACTTGTCACAAATTCTTCAACACATCTATTACTGCTGTTTTCCACATTTGTAGATCTTTGTAATTCAAAAGTGAAAAGAATCACTGCATTATTTGTATTTTGGTGATGTTTCCAATTGGGACAATAACTTTGACTGTAACTCTGTGCCAATTACAAATTGTGGCTTTAAGGGTATGAATGTTTGTATAATTTCTTGATTCTGATCTTGAATCTTTTAATTGTTTGTAAAAATTTAAATAAGAACAGGTCATCAGAGATTATTAATACATTATTATTGGGATGTTTTGTTATCACTTTGAATCTGTATGCATTTTCATCTTTAAGTGTTTCAAGTATTTATGTTTTGTGTTTATATGTCATTAAACGAAAAGAAAAACAGTTGCTCCCTCTTTTTTAAATGATCACATCAGTATTAATCCACAAGAAAGTGATAGTGGGTGGTCTCACTAGCTTGGATGGTGGCTTGAAGAACAACTGAAGGCACCCCTATGTGATTTTGTTATTATTCTTTTATTTAGCAAATTTTTACTTAAAAACACTTAAAAATCACATTTGAGGTAATACTATAGGAATTTTATGAATAAATAAAAAAAAACTCATTTGTAGGTTACTTCAAAACTCTAAAAAAGAACTTTAAAAAAGAATAAATAGTGAATAACTATCATTTGAAAATGCTCAAGGGAATGGGTAACATATTTTATTAAAGACTTTATAGTACAATATATTTAATAGGACATATATAGACTAACAAACAAGCAGTACGTAAATTAATGGTGACGTTTAGCAGTAAGGTTTAGTTTGTTTAATAATTTGAACCAAAGAATGAGCACACTATTTTACAATATTTTGTTATCTTAAAGAATGATTGTTTCGTTTATTTTTGCTCAAAGTGCATCAACTAACTTTACAAAAACACATTATGAATTAAAAGTCATGTAGAAGTATTGCGTATATTTAGTTGATACTAATTAAAACAGTTAATGTTAACAAAATCAAGCCTTATTGTAAATTTGGCCAATTAAGGTCTTAAAAATCTCTGTAAACCCACAGTTATCTCTTAAAATTATATATATTAACTACATAAAGCTGTGAAGCATGTCATGTACTTATAAATGACTAGATTGAGCTGATGCTTTAAAAAAAAAAAAAAAAAAAAAGTCAACTGCAAAGTTAGACCTGACCAGCTAAGGTGGAGACTTTGCTACTGCAGCACGTTAGTGACATCTAGTGACTAAAGAGCTGAATTGCTGACATCCAGTAAAAGAAGTATTTAGTCTCAACCGGTGACTCTGGCTACGTTCACTCTGCAGGCAGCACCACTTGGGCAAATGTGGCATGAATCTGGTTTTTCATCCTCATGTGACTCATGGAATCTGATCTTTTCAGGTCAGATCTGTGCCACTTTAATATGTAGTTTTAAATCAGACACAGATCTGATGTTCTGCAGTGCGACCGCAGTGTGAACGGTTATGTCAGATTTCATGCGACTTTTTCATAATTTAAGCGACATGCGTCATCATTCTGTGCTGCAAACATCATCTTCCCCTCAGCAGCACAGTATAATAGCACAGAGCGATTACAGTACCACAGAAAGTTGGTTGTTCGTGTTGAAAAAGATTTTGAAGGCATAACTGGTGCTTGTTAACTTATTTGGTTAACGATTGAGGCATGGGTTGATTGTGAAGCCGAAAAGCGCCGTGGGTGTTGCGGATAGGGGATGCTTGTGCAAAAAAGGAAGAACTTTGTTTCTGAGAGAAAAAGGGCTGGTGCTTATGTACGTGTCTTCTGTTTATAATGAAGTAAAATGAAATAACTCTGCAAATGGAGATAAACCAACTCCACCTTCACAGCTCAGTCTGCGGCTGCTCATAAACCCTTGAGTTCACTACACCGGTGATCAGAGCGCCACGCACCGTAGTTGTCATAAATGACAAAAGATCAGTGTTATTTATCACAGGAGATTTAGGTCTCAAATGCCGAAATACACATTAGTAGTAGCAGAACAATCATTTACAGTTCATTAAATAGACCACGGTTTTCTGTTAAAAGGGTAATAATCATACAAGCATAATCTGACAACGTGCTTAAGCTGCGGTCATATTGGGCTTTTCCTCCTATAGACTTCCATTCATACGCACGCAAATGCGTCAGACCGAAAACGCAGGGTCATGTGTCAAGTTTCGCGAAAATCTGACCTGCGAAATTGCATCACTTGACTGATGAGACCAATCGAGGATCAAAACATGACCCCTCTGGACAGAAAATCAAAATATGGAGCAATTGCTCGCTTTTGTAAATGTCTAATTAGCTTGCTTAATCCCGCCCCTTTTCGCAGAGCCGCATGCCAGAATTTCGCATGCTCGAACTCTAGTGAGACCGCAGCTTAACTCAAGCAGCACACACGTTTGCATAATTAGACATTTTGTGCTCTACGTAATGCACTTTTGCACATATGGGTCAGTTTAGGACCATGATATGTTCACACTGCAAATCTGATATTGGCCACATTTATAAGAGCAGTGTGAACAGCCGTGCGAAAAAATCAGATTTGAGCACTAAGCCTTGCAGTGTGAACGTAGCCTTAAAGCACATTGTTTCCTAAATCAACAAAATTTAAACAGTTTTACCACTTTGATATGGGTATGTTGGAAGCATACAGTATACCCTGCCATATATGTGCTTGTACCCTACAATGGTCAACTGCTAAATAGACAATCATAATGAGCACTGTTGGCAAACGGTACCTTTTGAGCTCCCTGCAAGATGTCTGCAACATCATTATAATGCACAGCTAACAATTTTAGGTTATATAAAATGTTCCCATAATGCTTCCATTAAGTTAGTTTTTTGAGCATCCAGTTTAGATAAAGTATTAACATTTTTGAAAAATCTTTTCATAACATTTCAGTAACATATTAGATTATTGCTATCAGAATTTTATGTAAAATGTTATTAAAACATTCCATTCTTATTCAATTAATGTTTGAAGAACACTTTGCATATGGGACTTCCTGCATGTCAGCAGTCCTTTATCCTCTTATTCCCACTGAGTACAGTTACATTCTGAAGTTTGAAAAGGGAATGATCTGGTGAATTACCAGTTTGTAAACATTTAGGATGTGTGCTCATCAAGGTTGCAAAAACAAATAAAAAACCCGAAAGCACTAGCATTTACAGTGAGGGAATGACATCTGATGTGGTAGCTACAGAGTTTGTTGTTGTACTAGAGATAAATTCCCAGGTAGCAAAGAATTCTGGCCCAGATTTGGCACAAATCTGGCACATCAGGCATTCATCCGGCACTGGCATACAGCATGTGGGCCAAACATGGCCCAGGTTTGGCAGAGGTGGCACCGTCTTGAAGGCGGCAGACAAGACATGGGCCAGATGTAAAATGTAGTATTTGGCCCAGATGTTCAAAACTGATCTGTGGCCCACATAAGTTTGGCCTTTCTGGAACCACATTTAAAATACATAAAAATATTTTTTCGAGTAAAAAATATTCCAATACACAGTCATTCCATCTTCCACTTGCATCTTCTAAAGCCTTCATTTTAATCTAGGAAACAATCAAGATTGAATTATTTGAATTAATCTATTCTTTCTTATATGTTGCAACTAAATTTACCCTACATTACATATTTTTTTTATTATTCAAATTATTATTTTGCTAATTATATTATTATTAACCAATGATGATATACCATAATATACAGACGGGAGTGTTAAAATGTTAAGTCAATTGTTTTTGTGCTGCTTGTCTCATGCACAAACACCAGAAAAAATTCAAAAATCCAAATCTACCAATCAGATTGCTTGGAGAAAAAGCGCGCCCGTAGCGCGCCTAATGCGCAATGCCTTATGGGTTTATCAATATGATATTGCAGTCGTAACCATTGGTCGTGACACTCGGTTTTCTGTTCAGTTTTCAAATATATTTTCTTCCGGTGAACGGTGTGTAACGTCAGTCTGCTGATTTAGCTAGCTTGGTTAATTTTAACCACGATTAAAAAACAACGAAACAAAACTTCTAATTTGAAAAATACTCTTGGATCTATTGAAGAGGACGGTGACGGCGGGCGGCCACTTGTACGCACTTCACCAACGGTCGTGGACCTAACTGGAGCAAAGGCATTTTGGTAAGTAATAATTGCATTTCTAATATATTGTTTCAGATCAGTTATCAGTTTCATCGTCGGAAATGTAAATGTCATCGGCGTGGTTGTCAGTGTAAGTTATACCCATATAAGCTCGATAAATATTCTTTAACGTTAGCTAAAGTTAATTTATCTCATGTTAAGTGGCACATCATGCTAAATAAACTCCAAAACAATATTTAAATTAACAGAAGACACGGTATAACACAATTTAAAGATATTTATTCGTTTTGTTTATCCTTATCGAACGTTACTGAGATTACCTCATTAAAAGTTGGACCATTTTCGTGCTGTGATGTTAACCCATAGCCCTTGCAAAGTTGCTGTTTACGTAATAAAGCGAGAGATGAAGGGCATTTCAAGCAAAAACAGAATTATCACTTGGAATGAGTCAAAATGTATTCTAAAATCACACCCTCTCCAGCACGCACGCACGCATGCATGGATGCATGCATGCATTGGAAAGGGAGATCTTTCATGTATTATAATTGTATTATGAACAAAAACGAAGCCTAAATTATGAGGAAATATGCTTAATTAAAGCTAAGATATATCAAATTTGACTATGCTGTATACATTATGTGCTTACGTGGATAAGAAAGCTCTCTACTTTTATGTGCATGTGAATAAATAGGCAATTTTAGATAAGTTTGTTTCATGCCTGAACAATTAACCTTAAGTAAAAAGAGTGAACAGGTTAGAGAAATAGATTTAAAGGGATAGTTCACACAAAAATTAGTGTACAATTACTCTCCTCAAATGGTTCCAAATCTTTGATTTTTATTTTTTTTCTATTAAACACCAAATAAAATGTTTTGGAAAAAGCAGAAAACATGTATTTGACTTGCATAGTAGGAAAAACTAATAGCAACAAATACAAGAGTTAATGTTTCTAATAATGTTTTTTAAAAAAAATGTGCTTGTCAATAACAGTAAAAACACACACACACAAAAAAACAGAATAACAGTTTGACTGAGGGCTGCACGATTAATTGTATTATTTTCATGAGAACTAAATTTGTGGCCACCAATCAATATTTAAATATCATCGCGGTTTTACATTATAAACACCAAGGAGTGTTTATATTTTTTGTCATTAAAAAATAGCGAATGACATCAGGTTAGATGCTTTCATTTTGGAACAGACTTAGCAGAATCTCAAACCTTGAGCATACATCACTTGCATAAATTTTGCCATGGACATTAAGATTAATTAAGACG